ATAATATCCAAGAAGGTACTATTATCCCTATCCCTATACAAAGAATCGCTATAAAACAATTTTTATGATAGCAGTATGAATGGAATGTTATGCCCTTTGTACTAAAAATTACTCCTTCAAAATTTTAAAAAATATTGAATGATATTTTTAATCTTTTTTCAAAATTTCTTATAATTTACATTCATGATGTCCTAGTATTTTCTACTAGTATTTGAAACATTTAAAAGTTTTCTTCAATGTCATCAAAGAGAATGGCTTAGTTCTATCCAAGAATAAGTATAGTTTCTTTTAAATTAATATTCGATTTTTTGGACATAATATCCAACAAGGTACTATTATCCCTATCCAACGATCCATTCAATTTGCTTATAAATTTCCTGATCAAATTCTTGACAAAACTCAGCTCCAAAGATTTTGGAATGTGTCAATTACATAGAAGATTTTATTCCAAGACTTAGTAATTTACTAAAACCTCTTCATGATAGATTGAATAAATCCCCTCCTCCATGGGCCAACATCCACTCCAATGTCGTTAAAGAAATAAAGTTTAAAGCTAAAGACCTTCCATGACTATCCCTTCTTGATCCCTGTGCATTCAAAATAGTTAAAAATGATGCATCAGATATTGGTTATAGTGGTATTTTGAAGCAAGGAAAAAATGACAAAGAGCATATCATTACATTGGCATCCAAACATTGGAATAAAGCCCAACAAAATTATCCTACTATAAAGAAGGAAACTTTAGCAATTATTTTGTGCATTTTATAATTTCAAGAAGATTTACTAAATAAAAGTTTCTACTACACATTGATTGTAAAGTTGCAAAATCTGTTTTATAAAAAAATGTACAAAACCTTGATTCTAAATTAAATATATATTTGCTAGATGGTAAGCTATTTTGTCTATTTTATTTTGATATTGAACTTATCAAAGAGAGCTTAAACTATATTTCAGGTTCTCTTACTCGAGAATTCTTGTAGAGTAGGTAATTATTGGTAAATAAATTTTATTGGAACTAAGTACACAAAATGAGAATGAAACAATTGTTGGACATCAGCCAACCAAAAACCTAGTACAAGTTGTTTCCCAGTAACAAACAATTTCAGTTGGTACCAAGCAATGCTCAACAAATTTTATTAATTATTTTTATTACTTGCATCAACATATATTTATAAGGTTATCATATTATAGATTTGATAAAATTAATAACATTATTTTTTATTCTATTTATTATAGAACAATACTAAATTATATATTCAATTAATATTTTTCTCTTTTTTGGACGAAATTAAAAAAAAATATATTCAAAAATTGTTATATAGAGTAAAAAAAATGATTTTAAAAGAAGTATAAAAAAGTTAAAGGTTGGTAATGTAATATATAATAAAATAGACAATTAAAAAAAGTCAATTAAAAAAAAGGAAGAGAATGATTATTTCTCAAAACTGAAGAGAAAGATTTGATTTTTAAGTAAAGTTAAAGGTATAAATGATTTCCACCCTTCTACATAATAATAGTGCATATATAATACAAAGTACACAATAAAATATTGCTCGCTTTGTTCTAACCTATGTAGCACACAATTTTTTTAAATTAATTTAAGAAATAATGACGCGTTAATTTATTTTAAAAATATTTAATTGATACTACGGTGGATCTCATTTATTTTGTATAAAAAAAAATCCACAAAAGGTATTTCTTTAATTTAAAATTTTATTTATTTTAGGAATAGTTTTAAGATATTATAAACTTTTCTCTTATTTTTAAAATTTCCTATCCAATCAAACTATATTATATAAATTAAGATTTTATAAAAATAAAATATTATTTTATCAATTTAATGATATCTAATTTTACAATAATGCAAAACGTGGATAAATTTCCTAATAATCTCATAAATTATTTCAAAATTATAATTTTATATTCCACCAGCTAATTCACCTCAAATTGTACTGAAAACAAACATAAATTTTGTTACTTTGTGATAGAAAAATCATCTTAAACTATCTTCAATTTCATGAGAAATCATGATAAGGATGACACCTATTAAAATTGGACTGTCAGCCGTATTTATTAAAATATATTCCCTCCATCTCTTATTACTTGTCAAATTTTGACCCAACACCTATTAAAAAAATAATGATTGATATATGAGTTTATCATTTTATTCTTATTAAATAATAGAATCTCAAATATATTTACTCACTATATTTTTCAAAGAATTAACTCCATATTAATAAATTAAGAATATAATAGGGCACAAGTTCTTCCTTGATTTGTCAAAAATGACAAGTAAAAATAGAAATCAAATTAGGAAATATTTGACAAATAAATAAAGACGAAGAGAGAATTAAATAAGGCAATCAAGTTTATTGATAGAATTTGATCAAAAGGGGATGAATCTTGAGATTCAAAGAAAAGCAAAAAAAAGATGGAATTTTAGTATACTATAAAAAAAGAGTTTCATGATCAAGAACCAATTATAAGAGGATTATGCGTAGACGCTAATCCTAACATGTCTATTTTAGTAAAAAGGTAATCAAAAGGAGAAAAGATGAGTGATAAAAAGGACATAAAGAAGCTGTGGAAAATAGGAAAGTACAATTTGACCTTCACTTTTACATAATGCAAGTGCATATATGATACGGACTACACAATAAAATATTATTCGTTTTCTTCCCATTTTAGTGATTTTTTTTTAAAAAAAAAGTTAATTTCAAAAGTATTGAACACATTCTTTATTTGATAGATATTTAATGAGATTATCAATGTTTTATTTATATTGAATTTTCACTTATTTGATAAAATATCCGTAAAAAGTGTATTCTTTACATTTTAAGTAGGGTTTTGGGTATTGCAATTCCATCTCATAATTTTAAATTTTCTAAAAAGCTTGATTTGAGAATTTCATATCATGATTTTGTATTTTTAAAATATAAAATTTGACCCATAAATTTATATTATCGTAAAAAAATTATTTTATATTTATGTAATATTTTTACGAGAATATCAAATGAGTGATGAAATATTCAAGAAATATGAACATGATGACATAATTACTAATGATATTGATCAATAAATGTCTCGATAAATATAATACACTACAACTCATGTTCAATTTTACCTTTTTTATTGAACTAAAGCTCGATCAATTTTTGATTTTGTATTTTTCATAATAGCTTTGTAATAGTGTATTATATTTTTATTTTGAACTTTTGCATTTTTGGTAAGATTGTATAAAGAATTGAAGCAATTTCGATAGCTTTCACTACTTATGAGATTTTTATATTTATGAGTAAAAAATACAACTTTAAAATACAAATTGCATGTCCAAACAAAACTTCAATTTTATCTAATATAATTCCAAATCATGTTTTCATTTCACATAGTCAAACGGACCTAAAGACTAGTTTTAATATATTATAACATTTTCTTAAATTTTATGCTCAATTAAATTACATTACATAAATTTAAATGAACACAAATATCATACTATATTTAATAAAAGGGAAAAGGGTCAAATATGCCCCTAAACTATTCGAAAAGGTCTAGATATACCCCCGTTTAAAGTTTGGCTCACTAATGCCCTTGCCGTCCAACTTTTCGTCTAGATATGTCCTTATGGGCGTTAAATGCCAAATGGAATTGTCACATCATTTTTACATTACCACGTGATATTTATATTAAAGGGAAAAGGGTCAAATATACCCCTAAACTAATCGAAAAGGTCTAGATATACCTCCCCCCCCCCCCTTTTAAATAAACTACCCGACCCGTTTTCAACAAAAAATTTAAAATTTTTATCTTTTTCGGTAAATTTCGAAAATGAGTAATTGACTAATAAAAAATAGGAAAAATATGAAAATATATATATATATATAATTAACGCTAAAAATTCGCAAATAAATATAGTAACCTTAAATTCAACAATTTTTTAAAAAAATATTTTTTTCGATAAATCACGAAAATGAGTAATTGATTAATAAAAGAAATATGAAAATGACTTTATGCTGAATTTTTAGGTTATATTTTTCATATTTTTTTATTAATCAATTACTCATTTTAGGGATTTATCGAAAAAAATATAAATTTTAAAAAATTGTTGAAATTGTTGAATTTAAGGTTACTATATTTATTTGTGAATTTTTGGCGTTAATTTTATATATTTTTTTTCATATTTTTCCTATTTTTTATTAGTCAATTACTCATTTTTGGGATTTACCGAAAATTTTTTGTTGAAAACGGATCGGATAGTTTATTTAAAAGGGGGTATATCTAGACCTTTTCGAATAGTTTAGAGGTATATTTGACCTTTTTTTCCCTTTAATATAAATGTCACGTGGTAATGTAAAAATGACGTGACAATTTTATTTGGCATTTAACGCTCATAAGGGCATATCTAGACGAAAAGTTGGACATCGAGGACACGAGTGAGCCAAACTTTAAATGAAGGTATATCTAGACCTTTTCGAATAGTTTAGTAGCATATTTGACTCTTTTTCCTTAATAAAATAATGTTAATCAAGATGGTAAGGAAGGCACATGCCAGCTTTTCGAATCTCATTCGTGACTTGGTAGTTGACATACTGACAAAGGTAAAAGGATGCCAAAATTATTGATTATGCGGTGCTCATTTTGCCACCTTTATTTGTTACAGGACAAACAAGCATCACTCTCATGAACTACCATTAGCTTAAGCCTAGGAGGAAAGGCTTAAAATAGTCCATTATCTTTGAGTTTAGACTCAAAATAGTCCTATTTCTTTTTAGTGGAGCATTAATAATCCTGATTTTTTAATAAAATGGTGTATTTTTAGTCTTCATCCTAATCACAGTTAGTTTTTTTAACTGATCAGTGGGTTATGCACGTGCTTCTCATATGATTCCCTCCAAACTTAAAAGCCTCTTGCTATTGCAAATTTGTTTGGGCTTTCTCCTTTTGAAACATTAGCCTTCTTTCTTAGTTTTTCCCCTCTTTTTTCTTCTCAGAATCAAAACATTATGGCTGTCACCACCTTCACTGAGGAGAAGACTTCTCCACTTCCACCCAAAAGAATATTCAAGGCCTCCATTGTTGATTCTCATAACTTGATCCCAAAGTTGATGCCACAAGCTATTAAAAGCATTGAAGTTCAAGGTGATGGAGCTGCTGGAAGCATCAAGACCATCAATTTCCCTGACGGTACAATCATCATATCACTCTTCTATTTTTGTGCAATTGCTTAGTAGACAATATTTTTGAAGACAATGACAACTCTTATTTTTGGGTGTGTAGGTAGAAATTTTAAGTCCATAAAGTATCGCGTTGATGAGCTTAACGAGGAGGCATACATATATAAGTACACATTGATCGAAGGTGATGGATTGGTAGACAACCTTGAGAAGATAACTTATGACGTGAAGTTTGAGCAGTCAGCAGATGGTGGTTCTATCTCTAAAATACCAAAAAATAAAGAGCAATAGCTGCAACACAACACTAATAAGTGCAGCATAGTAGCAACATCAGAATAAAACAGAACTATAACATCATTTTAAAGTTCAAAACACTTGAAAATGCATAAAAATAACTCCAAAAGTACAGTATATTGGCAACACCTACAGATTTAGAACAATACAACACTTGAAAATGAAACAGAGGAACACCACATGAGAATGCAATATAGCTGCAGCATCATATCCACCAACAATCTGATAGCAATATAGTAGCACCAAAAAGGAGATATCAACACCTGAAAAATGCATAGATAAGCACTTGGATAAGGCTAAACTACCATTAACATTGAACACATATTAGCACTCAAATAAGCTAAATTACCAGTGATTCATTTTAACTTTGTGTTTGTTGAGAGTATATCCAATCAGAATCTATATCAACTACTTCTTCTCGTCCAACTGTTTTTTCTTGTCCAGCTCCTTCTTGTCTAGTTTTTTCTTGTCCCGCTTCTTCATGTCCTCTTCTAACCTGAATCATAAATTCACATATAAATTGTGTTAGTTTAAGATTATCCAATAAGAAACCAATTATGATATAGTTAAGATATAGTAGTACAGGTAGTTTTTGACGAACTGAAGTAGTCTCTTGTGACACAACATTATATTTGCAAGTTTTTTTGTTATGACCAGGCTTGTTGCATGTACTGCAGTCTAGAGATTGTTGCTTTCTTTTCATCTTTGTTCGACTTGCTCCAACTTCATCGGCTTCCTTTCTTCTCGCCTTTTGTTTTCTTCCTCTCTTTTTATTTCCTACGATTGTTGGAGGCAATGGAGGAATTTTAGTTGATTTAGCCCATATTTGTGGCCCATTTATCGGAAGAATTGCATGCTCATAGATTCTTCTATATGTTTCGACCTTGTAACAATCATCCACATAGTCAAGAATGTTATCCTTCTTCGCCCGAATTGCTGCAATAACATGCTTGCAAGGTATTCCCATGATACTCCATTTTCTACAACTACATATTCTGTTCTCCAAATCAACAGCCCAACTATCATGAATAGTAGCTCCTATAATCTCATAATTCCATTGATTAGATTTTCTAGGAATATACTCACCCGTTGCAGTCTGATTTTTGTGCAAAATATCCTTAATCTTTGGGCAAACATCATTCGAACTCCATTTATGCGCTTTCTCCCTATTAGCTAACATTCTAGCCATGAGAAGATATCGCAATTTCTCCAAAAGTGTCACAATAGGCTTGTCTCTAGCATCAAGGATCATGCTATTAAACACTTCACAAATGTTATTTAATAAAATATCACACTTGGCATCTGAAGAGAAATGAGACCTTGACCATTGGCTAGGTTCTTTGTCATTGAGCCAATCGGCAGCATTTGGATCTAACTCTCTTATACGTACCATGCAAGCATCAAATTCTTTTACAGTGGTAGCCTTTGCAGCAGCCCAAAATGTTTTTTTTAATGTGAACCCACCAAAACCAGCTCTCTTAAAATTGTTATGAAGATGTCTCGCACAAAATCTATGACTGACATATGGCAAAACCTCATTAAAAGCTTCAATAAGACCTTTTTGTTTGTCGGACATAAAGGTCCAACCAGTCTCATCTACATCTAAATCAACTGTCAAATAGTTCAAAAACCAAGCCCACGACTCTTTACTTTCTTTCTCAACAATTGCATAGGCAATGAGAAATATATTATTATTACCATCAATTCCAACAGCAGTTAACAGTTGAGTCCCATACATTGGACCCTTCAACCAACAACCATCTACGCCTATTATTTTTCTGCATCCTACCTTGAAAGCTAGCTTACAAGCAGCAAAACAGATGTATATCCTTTGAAATCTGTATGGCTTGTTTGTTATCTCATTCTCAGTGAACTTCATATGAATTGTACTACCTGGATTTGTCCTATCAATTTCAATACAATAATCCCACATCACTTTGTATTGATCCTTGATATCACCATCAATCAATGCAATAGCTAACATCTTAGCTCTTTTGGCTTGAGATAAAGTTACATGAGCTCGTAGATCTACACTTACTCTATCTCTAAAATCAACTAAGCTCCAAGCCCTGTTTGATTTAATTTCTGTGAGGTATTTTCTTGCAATGAATGATGATGTTATTTTTCTATTATCATAATGCCACTCCTTGCAATTATGTGTAGGAATGTACTTCCTAATCTGGAAAGATGTATCCCTTTGCATTTTACATGCTGTGATTTCCCATTTGCACTCTGAATGTATACAAACGGCCTTCATTCTTTCTTTGTCATTTTTGAGCCACTGGATATACTTTCCATTCTTAATCTCATGAGTAACTACTGCACTTTTAAAATCTTTCTTGCTTTCAAAAACACATTCTAGTACTAAGATTGGATTGTCTCCGTCTATTTGTGGATTGAATGTAGGAAAGTTCAAGATCTCATTTTCAGAATCACTATGCAAACTTTTTGTGTCCGTAGAATCAACACAATCAGACTCTCCTTCTAGAGCTGTCATCTTTCTCTGTGCTTCGATACTAAGGATCTCCCATTCATCCACTATGTATTGTGTAGTCTTTTCATGTTTATCAATAAGTAAACCATCGGTTAACTCAACTTCCGAGTCGCTAAAATCATTTACCAATGGATTTTCTTGAACAAGTTGTTGTCTGTTATAATCTGCAGCATTTGAGCTATGTATAGAAGTCATATCTTCTATATTGAAATATGAATCCAAGTGTTCGAAGTAAATTTCGATCATGTTGTCATTTGGAATGTTTTTGCGAATAACATGGGCTTCATTATCTGTAGACACCAACCTCCATCTATTACCAGATCTTCCACATCTATGCCAAAAAGTTATTGAATTCTTTAAGTATCCACAAATCTCTGCCATCTTCTTAAACTCATCAAGGTCCAATTTGTTTGCATTAACATAATCAATATAGTCTATGTTTCCCTCAACATAATGCTTTTCTGGAGTACGTTTCATAACTCCTCCGTGGTGTATTTTGATACTGAAAAATGATGTATCTGCCATCGATTCTAAAATAGCAAAAAATATATTCTAATCAACACAAATAATACATACATATACAACATGATATTAATATAAAAGCAAATAACAAAAAGTATAAATTTCAGGGGCATTGATTAAGTCATAAAACTTATAAAATATTAACAAAGTTACAAAACGACATCTTTATATATATATATATATATATATATATATATATATATATATATATATATATATATTCATAAACGTGCTTCTTTTGTTAAATTATTTTTTGCGATAGTGGGATTTGATTAAAAGAATTAAAAATAAAATCGTACTTACCATAAATTAGAGGTGATTCTCCATCATCCTTGCTCCTTAAAAGCATTATAACTTCCAACTTTGATTATATTATTGAAGAAAGTATAATGCAGGTTTCAGATTTTAGGGTTATTTGGAGATTAGAGATAAAGAGGGGAAAAACTAAGAAAGAAGACTAATGTTTCAAAAGGAGAAAGCCCAAACAACATTGCAATAGCAAGAGGCTTTTAAGTTTGGAGGGAAACATATGAGAAGCACGTGCATAACCCACTGGTCAGTTAAAAAACTAACTGTGGTTAGGATGAAGACTAAAAATACACCACTTTATTAAAAAATCAGGACTATTAATGCACCACTAAAAAGAAATAGGACTATTTTGAGTCTAAACTCAAAGATAATGGACTATTTTAAGTCTTTCCTCTTAAGCCTAGCAACCAATAGAATTGCACTAGAGTGGTAAAATATTTATTTATTTATAATTAAAGATTTTGAGTTTGAGTTTTTGTAGTAAAGAATCGTCTCCTTTATTAGGAACGGCTTTACTTCTAATGTAAAATTTTCTGATGTAAATTTAAATTTAATCGAATTTCAATATAAATATTGAATATCAAATGAGAAAAAAAAACCTTACCCACAAAATAATTCGGAGTTGACTATATGATTTCTAATAGGATGGTGGATTAATATGTTTTATTCATTTCATTGATTATAATCAAAGTGGATATTTTTACAAGACAACTTGCAATTGCAGAATGAACAAATATTGGTTAAATTCAGATCAATCTTCAATCCTTTTTACATCCATTTTCAGCAACACAGCAGTGGAAAACCTTCAAGTCACATTTAGGAGAAACCAATTTCAGAAAGATCCTAGCAGTGTCCTCTTGCCTTACCTTTGCGCCTTCCTTCTCCACCAAAGCCGCCGCCACAATTCGTTCATACCCACCACCTCCTTCAGCCACAAAAGCCACCAATGCCGCCTGCACCGGCCCTAAACTTGGATTATAAGCAGCAGATTCCACATAAGAACCTCTATAAATCTTCCCTTCATAATCCATAATTGCTACCCCTGATGGACACCCACTGTAAGGTGCGTGTGAATCGTTAGCACCTTCCAAAGCTGCAATCCTTAAAAGGGTACTCTCTGTTTCTGTCAATTTATAAAACCCATTACTCAGATTTCCCGATTTCAAATCGTCATCTGAAAACCCATTGCATAGATCTCCATCGTGATTAATCTCATACGACAGGATTAAACCGTTGTTATGTCGCTCGAGGAGTAAAGGAGTTTCGTCATCAAGGAGATCGAATGGACCAAATGGGTTTGGGAGAATTTCACGCAAAGGTTCGAATGTGACATCGGGATTGTTTTGGTGTTGAGATGTGATGTGGATTTGGAGATCGGAAGGGTTTCGGAGTTCTTGAAGAAACTGTCGGCAGTGGCCACAGGGGGCGGCGGAGACAGCGAATGCAACGAGGCGGGGGCAGCGGTGGACAGCAAGGTTAGTGATGAGAAACTGCTCGGCGTGAACAGAGTGATGAAGGGGTAGGCCAGGAAATTCAAGGTTAACACCGAGGAATACACGGCCATCGGAGCCGAGGCCAACAGCGGCGACGTGGTAGTTGGAGATGGGTGGGCGGGCAAGGGTCTGTGCGGGTTGAACCAAGACAGGGAGGAGGTGGTGGACAGAAGGTAGGCCAAGTTTGTGGGTAATGGACTCAGCCTCAGAGGCTTCCACCACAAATTTTAGTTGATCCATGATTATCCCTTTCTCTAATGTAAATCCTTTTCTTTTTCTCTATTTTTCCTTCTTTCTTTTTTTTGGGTGAGAAGGATCTAAAAGTTTAGCACACTTCCTTGAAATGAGGAGGGGAGGCGAGGGGGGGGAGTAATGGGAGGGGAGAGGGTCATTTATAGAACAAGTTTTGGTCATTGGCTCATTTCTAAACAATACTCTCCTTCTACTTAATTATTTGTTCATTTTTTCTTTTATAGTTATTTCTAATTACTTGTTTATTTTGACAAATCAAGAAAAAATATAATTTCTTTTACCTATTATATTCTCAATTAAATGACTAATTATTTTGAAAAATATAAAAAAAATTATCCACTTCATAATTAATAGGGGTAAAATAGTAAACTCACTATGTCATTAATTGTTTTCTTAATATATGTGTCAATTCAAAAGTGAACAAGTAATTAAGAACGGAAAGTATATTTCATGGCAATTCCTTCTTTTCACATCCTATTTTGTCCAATTCAATTATATGGATTTTGCCAATGAGTTAAGGTAAAAAAAATAAATATGTACAAAATTATTTATGTATTGTCAGTTTAATGCTCCTTCCGTTTTATTTTATGTGGCATTTTTTTATTTCGAGATTCAAACAATTATATCTTTGACTGTAAATTTTAAATAGATCTTTAAAACATTTTGAATTATCAATTATTCTGATTTATAATACTTTTATGTAGTTTACAAATATATAAAATTCATTTAAATTTTTTTTGAAGATTTCATGCACAAATTTCCAATTAAACTTAAATTTGACTCTCGAAAAATAAAAAAGTGTCTCATAAATTGGGACAAAGTGAGTACTTAGATTATAGAGTATTAATATTACTACTTTAAATCACAATATTTCCTAATATAAAATCTCCTTTGGCGTTAAGTGGTACAGAAGTGGCATTTATATATATATATATAGTTCTAGGGTTTGTGAATTAATATAGTTTGATAGTTTGAAACTATAAAAGACCTTAGATTTTTAGAAAAGTTTCTAGAATGTTAATTGTAGTATTTAGATACTTATCTTAAGATATGTCTAGAAGTGTTTTAGATCCTTATCAGATGGTTGGAATATAAAATAGATGTATTGAGAATAATTACTAAAAGCATCTCTACACACTAGTATAAATAAGAGTGACACTAGGCATATGTAATCAAGTTCTTTCTTTACAAAATATTTTCATCCTTTCTAGCTTCATCTTTTTTATTTGAATCTTTGGACCCTAGTTAACGAGCTTGAGCTAGTAAAAAGATTTTCAATTATATCTTTCTTTTACTATTCTCTACATGGTAAAATAGAATATGACGATTGGTGTGTTAAAGCCACACTTAATATTTAGGGGGCTATGAAACATTATAGTAATTTGTCTCAATTTTTCACTTTTTTTCGTGTGGTATGTCGCTTGTGGTATGTGTTGAGTTCAATTGGTATCTCTGAATTCAATTGATATCTTAACGAAGTAATCTCGATGTCATTATGACAGCAAAGGTACACAAACAAGGAAAGATTGAAACTTGAAGGTTCCAATTGGTATCTGACTCTATAGTCATGTGAATGTATATATGATCAGTTAGTAGTCATCCATAATGTGAATAAAATCTTATGAACTTGATTAAAGTGATGATAAATGCTTAACGATTGTTATTATGTGTATTGCATTTCTTGAATAACTACCTATGTGAAGTATACTTGTCTAAATGATTGAAATTGTTATGTGATTTACTAAGTGTGCCTTGTGTAGTTAAGTCCTGAAATTTTATGGCCATGATGAAAATTTTGTATTATACATGTCTGGTATCGATCTTGGAGATATTTAAAAAAAAAACTGGCAAGGGATTACCATTGGTAAAGATGGTAAGGGGAAAAAGATAAATTGTGATTGTGGGGAAACTCTTAATTAAGGACAGGCGGAATGGTTAGAAACTATGGGAAGAGATAATCTTGTGTGATAGCGGTATGTGATGATATGAACTGTGTTCCCATGTTATTTGATATTCATTCAATGATAATGTGGTGTATGTGCATAATTTTGTGTTGATGGGTAAGACCCTAGAGTCGGGAATAAGTTTATGGTTCGAATGACTGTGACATTTGTGTCTGCGGACAGTCTTGGGATTGTATTGCTAATTGTATGGTGTTTAAAGAGTTGGTGCAGATATGAGAGTAAGGAAACATTGCTGAATTTTAAAATTTATGGCAAACACTCGTTGGGGCCGCCATAGCGGAGCTAGCTAGGCCGCTAAAGTGCTCCCGCTATGATGAAAGTTTTCTCGCCATAGCGGAAGTCGCTATAACGATGGCGGTCGTCGCGATAGCGAAGAGAATCAGAGACTAAACTCTGGCCCCTATTTTACCTTTCATTTCTAATCGAGCTTCAATGAAGATATCGGACACCAAATGAGTAAAAAAAAACTTAAGCCTAGCAATAAAATGTATAGCATTATTAACCACAAATAATTCAGAGTTGACTATATGATTACTAATAGGATGGTGGATTAATTAATATGTTTTATTCATTTCATTGATTATCATCAAAGTGGATATCTTACAATATTTCCTATGTAAAATCACCATTGGTGTCAAGTGGTATAGAAGTGACCCCACTCTTTTTATAGTCCTAGGGGTTGTGAAATAATAAAGTTGATTTTTTTAAACTATAGAAAATCTTAAATTTTTAGAAAAGTTTTTAGAATGTCCTATCATAGTATTTTGGATACTTACCTTAAGATGTGTCTAGAAGTATTTTAGATCTTTATTAGATAGTTGAAAGATCAAATAGATGTATTTAGAATAATTACTAAAAACATCTCTAGACTAGTTTTATTAGGGGTGATATTAGGCATCTGTAATCAATCTAAATCAAGAAGTCTTATTCCTTAACCAAGTTCTTTTGTTTGCAAAATATTTCTCCTCCTTTCTAGCTTCCTCTTTTTTATTTGAGTCTTCGTATCCTAGGTACGGAGCTTGAGCTAGTAGAAAGATTTCCTGATTATACATTTATTTTACGATACTCTACATGGTAAAATAGAGTCTTGACGATTGGTGTTGACGTTCACACTTAATCTTTAGGGGGGGTATGAAACATGCTAGGAATCTGTCTCTCTTTTTCACTCTTTTCATGTGGTGTATCGCTTGTGGTATGCATTGAGTCCAATTGATATATCTGAATTCAATTGATATCTTAATGAAGTAACCTCGATGTTGTTATGGAAGCTGAAGGTACAAAAGCAAGGAAAGATAGGAACCGAGAAGGTTCCAATTGGTATCTGGCCCTAAGGATCATGTGAATGCATGAATGATCAGTTAGTGGTCATCCATAATACGAATAAATTATCATGAACTTAATTAAAGTGGTGACGAATGCTTAACAGTTGTTATTATGTGTATTGCATGGCTTGAATAATTATCTATGTGAAGTATACTTGCTTAATGACTGAAATTGTTATGTGGTCTACTGATTATGCTTTGTGTAGTCAAGTCCTGAAATTTTATGGCCATGATGTAAAATTTGTATTATACATGTTTGGGATTGATCTTGGGGTTATTTTTCTTTAAAAAATGGCATTGGATTACCATTTGTAAAGATGGTAAGAGGAAAAATATAAATTGTGATTGTGGGGAAACTCCAATTTTGGGACAGTCAGAATAGTTGTGAACCATGGGAAGAGATAATCTTCTGTGATAGTGGTATATATATGATGATATGAATTGTGTTTCCATGTTATTTGATTTTCAGTGATAATGTGGTATAAGTGCATAATTTTGTGTTGTTGGGTAAGATCCTGAAGTCGGGAATAAATTTATGGTTCAAATGACTGTGACATTTATTGCTGCGAATGGTTTTGGGGTTGCGGTGTTTATGGTATGGTGTTTAAAGAGTTGGTACATATATGAGAGTACGAAAACATTGCTGAATTTTGAAATTTCTAGCAAACACTCGTCGGGGCCACCATAGCGGAGCTAGGCAACTATAGCGCTCCGCTATGGTGAAAGTTTTCTCGCCATACCAGAAGGTTCTATAGCGCTGCTAAGGTACTATAGCAGTTGTCGCAATAGCGAAGAGAATCAAAGACTAAACGCCGACCCCTATTTTATCACATGTTCAATTTTTATCAATGTAGAAAAATAACCATTCCAACATTCTAGAGTAAATACCGGAATTATAGCACCCCAAAAACCAACATCTATGTGCTCTCAAAACAAGAAAAGCAATATAAGATGTATATTCCCAAATAGGGCAAACCAAAACAATATCAAATATCCAAACGGGGGGGGAGGGGAAATACTACTGGCTTCAACTGGGAAGCTCCTACTCGGGGGTGATACAACTGAACATGACTTTCATGGTCTTCCACATGCGCTTCATAGATGATCCCGAGAGCTCCCTCTCCTCCTCGCAACATCAAACTCACTGTAGAGCGCAATTATGTCCTTGGAAGGAGAAGGTGGTGCTGAGACAAAATCAGTCTCCACGAACCTCGTGACTGCAGCCAGGTCCGTCTCTAGGCGGATTCAGGATAGCGGGGGATGTGACTAAATGGTGGCAGGGTCCGTATTTGCATCAACATCCTCCTCTCGATCCGTTACGACTCGACTACTTCCCACCTCGCCTATCATATTTTTTTAGGTGCTCCAAAGGGATCCTTCTTCACCATAAGGGGTTGAACGGGCCATCATTTTCCACCTCGTAGCTCATGTCATCCAATAACACCCCTTCCTATCTGCAAAGCACAAATACCATCCCAGGAAGAAAAGACTTCTTGCTGCCACAATAGAAATCTTTCCACTCCGACACGATATGCTCCCCCATATTTACCAAAATCCCAACTATGGCACATGATACCACCATGGCCCGGGGATAGGTCACATCAGTGAAGTATATGATGAATGAATCATCCGATTAACCACCTCCGAGCGTCAAACGAATAGTAGTGACTATAATACCCTCTGTAGTGAACAAACTAACCTATTTTAAGTATCTCTTCCATTAGTGTGTTCTGTAGTTAGGTTAGGTCCACCTCCCTCAGCTTGGCCTCATAGGAATCAGGTAGAACCTCCAACACTCCCAATGCCTA